AGTCTTTTTTCCCTGCAGACGGTTAGAATAACTGTAAGCTTTTCAAATGCCAGAATCTTTGACAGATATCACAAACATTTACTTAACTGATTCAATATTTCATATGTCAAAACATACTTCATGACAGTAAACTGAAACATTTTCTGCGGTCAATGTATATCCAAACCTCTTTTCCCCATAATTTGAAAGGCTATGAGAACAGAGCTTTAGAGATGCATTTTAAGCATCTTCCATCCAAAATGTTATCAGTCCTGTTCCTTCCTCCCCAAAGGATATCCAAAAAAAGGGGAAAACAATCCAAAGGACATTAGTGTATTACTGCATTTCTGAAGTGAAAAAAATGCAGAGAATGATAAAATTTCAAATAGTTTAAATCTATATTGTAGAAATCATCCTATCAGAAGTTTTACCCCATCCCTAAAATGGCTTATCAATTTACGTTCCCATAATAACAGATCCTAGAATCTTCTTTACAAATCCAGGAAATTCCCCCCTCCCCACCCCAACCCCCCAAGAGGAGGCAGGAGGGAAAAGGACAGAAAGAGGGCACCTGGTAGATATTCATTTATTTAACTGATGGCATGATTTTAAAAGGTAATATCTGACAAGGCCCCAATACCGCAATTTCCTTATACGTACTACACATCGACTTTCACAGACTTTTTTTTTTAAAGGCCATTTTTAGAAGGACAAAATACTGAGACAAGAAGAAAGCTGAACCAACCTTCTCAAACACAAAATAGTGTACAGACAATACAAGGCTTAGGAGAAAGGTGGGTTTTTTTCCAAAGATATGCTGCATCACCATGTTCTTATCACACAGCTCTGTCTATAAATTCTACATTAGGGCATATCTCTATATAGAAATTTATAATTAAGATACTAGGACATTGTTTTTAACATAGAAGTAAATTCTGTAATTTAGAATACCGATGTTTTTTATCCACGATCATTTTTTTTAACAGGCTATTTTAAAGGAAAGAAAAAATTCCATTCAACAAGTTTCATTTGACTTTTACTTATGGTTGAATACACACGAAATGTGCTTTCAATGCATAAAAATCACAGTGGATAGCAGCAAAGGACTTGGGGGAAATTAAGGAGAATTTGATCATTCACATTGTGATTAATCTGCACATTGATGAAAGATAGCTATTTCACACTTCTAAAAATAAACTTGAGATCATTCTTTCCAAAAAAAAAAAAAAGCCCCCCAAAATACACAAAACCCCTCAAAAAGAAACATAAATCCAAATGCATTACTTTTCTTTTACACACAAAAATGAAATATTTTTATGGCAGCAAAAGATTTTGATAATAATGAAAGTCTGTAAACTGTAATTCAATCTCTTTTTGTTGTTGTTGTTCCCAAAGTGCAAGATGCAAGATTCCCATAAGCTTTCAGTAGTGCTTTTCCTGTAAATAATCCTTCATTTTGTTTGGCAAAGGCAGTTTCTGAATCAGGTCTATTCTGGTGTACTGACGTATTACAAAACGACACAGGTATTGTAAAGAACGCACCTGCATAAACCGAGATACTGGATTTGTCAGTCTCACTGGGTAAGTTGCAGATCCAGGCAGTCGGGATCTCGAATAGCAGAAAGCTCCATTTTCAGAGTCCCTGATTGAATGTTCAATTAAGTCAACTATAGATGTATGTCCCTCCACATCTGGTTGTTCATAAAAGCTAAACCTACCATTTGAGTGTTCAATTCTAGTGTGAAGAGTTTTTCCATGGGAACGAAAACTCAAACTTAAAAGATAACGATCATCGGAACTATCTCGAACGAGAAACGAGCCATCAGGCACATTAGCTAATTTTCCCTCTGCCTCCCAGCGTGTAATGGGGCCCCAGTACCATCCTTGTTTTGCAAGTTTTTTCAGTTCTTCTGTGAGACTGGTCACAACCATAGGACCACTGTTCTGTACAGAATCATAAACTCTTCCAACTCCAGGGGCAGTGTTAGGATCAAAATTCAAATGGCAGCGCATACTTTCAGCCACATGGGCATCTGTGCCATTCAATCCATTGAAGTTCCTTTGGATTTGATTATTCTGCATTGGAGGTAGCAAAGGTGAGAGTGGAGGGACATCGCTGTGATTAACTCTTGGGCTTTGCAACATGACTCCTGTGGTACCAATCAACAAACCATTCACCGTCTGGTCCACAAAGATATCTGGTGCAACGACTACATCCTGATCCACTTGGCTCTCTTCTTCATGGAAAGCATTTCCTCCCACTTGAGAAGAAACAGTTGAAACTTCCATGGGTGAGGAACTATCCAGACAGTAACTACGTGATCCTTCCAAAGGATACATTCCCTCATCTAAAGGCACAGTATACTGAATGTAGTCCTGAGGCATTAATCCAATAACTACAGGCACATGTTCATCAATATGAAGATGCAAGTCCCCGTTCTGAGATTCCGTATTTTTTAATGCATTGTTTTGTTCCTGGAATACGTTGTCTGACTGCAAGTCATGGAAGTCCTTTCGAACACCATTCAGTGCTGGGCTTGGATTAGAGGAATGGACCAAGGCCTTGACTTTTACTTCCATTTTGATGCAAGTCTCCTCTGAATTTGTAGGTCGAAGGGGCCACGGAGTTGGACTGTAATGGTGATTACGGAGGGAAGTGGATCTCAGAGGTCTTTGAGCTCGCACATCTTTGAAGGTTATTGGAGCAGATGAGGAAGAAAAGGTGTCATCATCTGCAGAGCTTACAGATGGTGTGCTGCCTTTGCCTTTCTGTTTTTGTTTTGCTGAAAGCCTCCTTTTTAGCGTACCCATTAAGCTTTCACTTTTTGATCTATTTTTGCCTCCTTTTTCATCTTCACTATTGACTTCACAGCTAGCCAAATCTTTACCATAGCAGCTGCCAAACAAGGAGTCGTCTTTTCCAAATTCACTTAAAAAAGAACCACTACAAAGTCACTTTCATCTTTACTTTTATTTAAGTTAAAGGACTTGCGAATTGTTTTGAGACTAATTTTCTTCATTATGACAAGTTACCAAGTCTGGCTGATCAGCAGTGCTTGTGGTGATATAGCCCTAACACATGCAGAGCAGCTTCTGCTTCATTTATGTGTTTTATCCAGCCTCATTTAACTTCAAGAGCCATTTCCTGGAAACAAATAAAGAACAATTAACTTCACAAAAGAAATATTTTTTAAATTATCCATAAAGGTTTCCCCCTCTTCCAAACAAAACAGAAATTGCAGTACTTAAGTAATGGGCATCAAATAAAAGTAAATATAGAAAGCTGATTTGGAAACCAATCAGGCTGTAAAAAAAAAAAATGAATCTTCTACATCTGCCTTGGAGATTTCCACAACTTTTTTCTTCTTTTAGCACGCTGGTTTTTAAACATACACACACATTAAATATATACGCTTATGAGAGTGATTTAATGCATGCATATAACACTTTCAAGCACAGAAACACCCCTCTCTTTCAGAGGGCTCCTAAAAAAATCCACACAAAAATAACTATAGAAGATAAAACTATAGAAGATATTCTATCCAACAGGATTCCTACATACAGTTTAAACTGTGATTAGTCCTAAATCGTGATCTTACAAGCTCATACTTTCTTTACACAGGGAAGTTAAGCAATATTCAAACAGTTACATGATTACAGGAAAACTAACTCCCCTCAAAAAATAGAGAGAAATTAGCAGCAAAGTAACATCTATTTAAAGCAAACCATAGAAGTCCCCTCCTGAACTCCTATGAAAGAAAAGTAATTTCTAAACTCTGGTTTAGGTATAGAGGAGATCACATCACAAGCTCTCCTTGCCTAGTACTGTTAGAGCTTTTCTTCCTCCAATACTTCTGCCAAGACTAAGTGGACACATCTGCTCAAGTCCCAGCCAACTCCTTCCACCTGGTGTCTTCCAGAGTCATGTACTCACCCCCTCCATAAATTTGACTTTTCAGCTTGGTCTTTTTGTTTGGGCTTTCGTTTTTATTTTTTATTTTTAATGTCAGTTAGACCTTCCAAAGCAAGCAGCTCTGCAGAGAAGGGAAGAACGAGAGGAAAGTTGCTGCTGCAGCAGAAGTAGACCTTTTTCCATGTACCTCTAAATATACGTGTTAGGTTAGCAGCACAAACTGCAGCAGCAAGCCTGACTCCAGGCTACGCATGGGAAGCTGGAGGAGTCTAAGAATCTTTAAAAAAATCTTCCAAGTCTGGGAGACTGAGGGAAAAGTAAAACAGCTCTTATATACGCACTTCTCACTTTTCTCCTATGGTATCGCAATACAAGCAACTGAGAAATGAACTGAAAAATGAACTAGGTTTTATCAACTGAACAATGTGATTTTCTTAAATAACCATTAAAAAACTCATAAAAGCATGTAAGGGGAATGACTACTATAATCAAACAGTAGTCCATTGACTATTACTCTTGTCCAGCCCAACTTCCATGGTCCTCAAGTACACAAAGGCTAAAGGATATTATCTATAATATCTAAATAAACTAAATAATATCTAAAAATAAACTAAAAGACAATGCAAGACATCTAAGAATTCTGAACTCAAAATACCTTGAAAATTTTTAAGTAAAGCCCTGCTGCTAGGGGGTTAAACATGGTTCCCATGAACAGCAGAAGCACTTAGCCTTGATTTACTTGGATTTGC